GTGGTCAGGCAGAGAACGAGGGCCCTACCCTGGGGGACGGCGGACGGACGGAGATCAGGGAGTCTTTACTACAAGAAGAAGGTGGCACTAATGTGCCCCACAAAGCAGCCAGGTCCCCGAGACTTCTGGCATCAGGAGACGGAGTTTATAACACAAAAGTGTGCAATTTGGACCCTAACGTAACCCCACACGTGGAGGGGGGCTGGCCTCTGGGACCCAGGCACCTTCCATTCTCCCCCAGGGTCCTTGCACCGGCATTGGCTGTCATTCCACCGGGGAGCAGACCCGGAAACGGAGCCGCCGGCACCGCGCGGGGAGCGAACAGGAACTGTCTGTCCTGGGACGCAAAGGGGCGAGGCAAGGGGCGAGGCGGCGTGAACATAAGGACGGCTCGGATTCACATTTTCCACGCAAGTCCTTCCTGGGCTTAACTTCCTTGGCCCAGAGTTTAGAATTTGAAAACACAAACAAACAAGAAAACACTCTAAAACACCCCCCAAAACCCCACTTTTGAGAAAAGGCTGGATGTGAAAGCAATTGCGGGGCAAAGTCATAGTGAGTAATTGATGATAAAAATGCTTTCCGTCAACCGATAATCACCACCTTGTCAGTAAAAACATTAACTTTTGGGTGGGCTACCCGGTTTTCCAAAACATCTGGACATCCTGCGTTCACCGCCCATTATTATTATTTTTTGGAAGTTGTGCAATTAGGCTTATCCAAATCCTTCCCATTTGCACGCAATTGCCACAGGCTTGCGATGCCTCCCCAACTTGCAAGAAATGGGTTTTGCCAAACGCGGGCTTCAGTTTAACTGAAGACGCCACGAGTGGGCAGGTCCCAGGCTGGTGAACCAGTCCCCGCGCCTGGCACCCGGGCCCGCGGGTTCGGGCCGGCTCTCGGGACCCACGACGGGAGGGAAAGTGGAAAACGAGTCATTACCAGCGGGCGGGTGTCCAGCTTTCGTTTCTTGCTTCTCCTCGGGAGGCGAAGACATGGTGCGACCGGAGCGGCTGGGACGGCAGCGGCTGGGATTTTGTAATCTGTGCACTTGAACTAAAGCAGTTACATTACAGAAGAGAAAAGATGTGAATATTCTTGGCTTGGAGAGTTTCGTTATTGCTACTTCTCTTACCTAGATAGTTCACGTGTGCGGTGGCGGGAGGTGGGCTCCGAGGCTGGAGAGGGCGGTCGCCGGAGATTGAAAAAGACCCAGCTTGAGGATGGCTGCTCCACCAACCCCGCTGGGTAGATGGTGACCGCGGTGGAAGCAGAGCCGCCACAGGGGCCGCCCCGGGGCCTGGGGTGTGTGGTCAGGGACCGCCTGCCAGATGTTCTCGCCCAGCTCCTGCTTGGAGTGACTAATCGGTGGGAAATGACCCCCAGGCCCGAGGGTAGCAGGGATTTGTTAAAACGCAGAAGGGCAGCGCTCTGAAGCCTGGACGCCTGGACCGAGATCTCGGAGGGCTGAGTCTGTGCCCACTCCCTCTGCCCTCTTTCCGTTGCCAGGGATGGGGATTCTGTCCAAAGCGGACCGTCTGCTCTTTTGTGACCTGGTTGCTCTTGTGACCTGGTTCGCATACCTCTCGCCTTCTCAGCACTTGGCAATGACAGTTACCCTTTCCCTGAACCAGTCTAATCTTGCTGGACAGAGTTCAAACATGCCTGATGTCTTTAGAAAAGGGACACGCTACCTCTCTTGGCTGGACCTTTGACAGTACAGCTGCTCAATGAGGTTCGGCCCCTCACTCATCTCAAACCCCCCCCCC